CATATGAGTTTCTTGGGCATATATATCTATATATATATATATATATATATATATATAGATATATATATATATTTTTTTTTCTTTTTATTTTTATTTATTTATTTTTTTTAAGCAATATGTTAAGACATGATGAAAATGTCTGTTTGACTTGTTCAGGTGAGCACAATGACTTCATTTGAAAAAGTGTCACAAGGAATAAACCATGTAGAAGGGGGGTGGGCAAAAATGATCAATGCAGACGACACGGAGGTGACTGCCCGCTACAAGAAGAAATATCTGAAGGATGAGCATTGTCAGCACATGGTTATGGAGACTGCTAGCGTGAGTGCCAACACCATAAACATTTGAGCAGTATATCAGGCACTGCAAAGTGAGCAATAATGTGCTTCAATGATAGAATAAGCTTGGTGAGCGATTTCCCCCCTCTCTTGAGCAAAGAGCATGACTCTGATTTAAAGAAAGTGAATTTTGTTTACATTACTTTAAATGTCTGCAAATTTTAGGAATAGTTCAGGTAAAGATGAAAATACTGTATATCTGCCCATCCTCATGTTTTTTCAAACCCATTTGATGAGACAGATGCAATATATTTGTCATTCTTTTATACTTTTATGGAGCTTTTGCATCCTTGTAAAGCTTGAAAGCTGCTGTCTCTATTCATTTTAATTGGATAGACAAGAGTATCCTGTACAAATTTCTTCCTTTATGCTCCATGGAAGAAAAAAACTCATGGGTTTGGAACAACGTGAGAGTAAATAATGACAGATTTTTCATTTTATGGTGCACAAATCCTTTTAAGACAAGAGTGAGATAACTGGATTGAATTTGACTTTGGTTTCAGCTTTTATCTCCATCTTTTTCAGAACTGCTTATTAAATCTCACATGTCCTCAGAAACACAATCACTTCATGAATTCTTGTCTTCTTGTCAACTGAAGGTCATGGAACACTGCAACCAGTGTAAAGATGCAGAAGATTGTTTCCCAGATTTAAAAGATGAGGAGGGGGTGCAGGAAATGGAGTACGAGCCATCAGCAAGAATCATCAGTATGCTAAGGTGGGCACACTTATTAGAGCACATTAGGATGAACAACTAATGTACACATGATTTGGCTCAGATGGATGGGTGGATCAATAAATAAGTAGAAAGAAAGGTAGATGCAGTGTGTGATTTATGTGGCACAACTTTAACCAAAATCCAATGTGATTTTCTCTAGGGACCCAAATAAAGTAAAACGCACTGCCACCAGTTTGTCCTGGCACCCGCTTGATTATCATAAACTAGCCGTTGCCTACTCTTGCCTGGAATTTCAGAGAGCACCCAAAAATATGAGCTTTGACTCCTACATATGGAACATTGGTATGTTATACACAGTTTCATTGATGATACTATTTATGTATTTGGTAAATATATATATTTTTCTTTCATCTACAGAAATTTGCAATAAACCGGAGATGACTCTGAAACCTATATCTCCGCTTGTTTGTCTGGAGTACAACCACAAAGATACTCACATCCTTATTGGAGGAAGCTACAATGGACAGATCGGTGGGTTTTTATTGTGAATATGAATTGCATATAAATGATTATATAGGGAGATGTGCTTGTTTCCATTCATCAGACAAATTTGTGCAAGCTCAGTGATGCTCAATTCCTTACAGTCTACTATGTGTTTGCCATTGATTGTAAACATCACAGATATATGTTTGAAATCACAGCTGTAAATGTATTTACGTAACGGTACACAAATGTTCTCAAGTCACAGAGTTTGCCTTCTTTCCAGGCTATTGGGACACTCGGAGTGGCAGCCAGCCAGTACAGATGTCCGCCACTGAGCATAGCCATAAAGATCCTGTCTACAAGGTCATCTGGCTGCAGACAAAGATAGGCACTGAAACTTTCTCAGCTTCTACAGATGGTCAGGTCTGTGTACAGTGGCAAAACAGTCCAAAAACATTCAAATAAGCCACCAATATTTCACAGAATGGATCGCTATACTAACAAACCCTTCAAATTAGTCAGATTACATACTGTACTCAAAGAAGTATCTATCTGACACCAGGTACTGTTCTGGGACATTCGTAATATGAATGAGCCCACCAAGCGGCTCGTGCTGGATCCCAGTAAGAAGGGAAACCGTGAAAATGCCCTTGGTGCAGTCTCAATGGAGTTTGAAAACAGTATGGTAAGAGCAGCTCTCATTTTGTTTGTCTCATTCCATTTCATGTTGAGAGTTTTTTTTGCTTTTGATTACAAAAGGCAAAGTTTCTGGTGGGCACAGAGCAGGGGCTTGTGGTCTCGTGCAATCGCAAGTTAGAGACCACAGATGATCCGATTGTATGCATGTACAGCGGACACCATGGCCCCATTTACGCCCTCCAGAGGAACCCCTTCTTTCCGAAGAACTTCTTGACTGTTGCTGATTGGACCGCCCGCATCTGGTCAGAGGATATCAAAGAGTCCTCCATCATTTCGTCCAAGTAAGAAACTGTTATTGTTCTGAAATACAGTACTGACAGAGCAGCAGTTATACCAATCAGATGGGTTTTATTTTACTGTTTGTGATGCAAAGTTGGATCAACTATATTTTAAGTCAATGGTTCCCAACCAGAATGCCTAGGGGGCCACAGGATGACTTTAAATTTTATTTAAATTGATATGCTTTATTTAAATTGATATACTTTAAAAAGTATTTAAATGAATACATTATTATTAATACAAAACAATCTAACTGAATTAAAAGGCTAAAAAACACATTAAATCAAATCATATTTAAAAAAAAATGTTCCCTCACTAACTGTTGTTTTTAACTGAAGAACGTACAAAGAGCTCCTGGAATCACAAAATCATAGAAACTGTTTCTACAGATATCACATGACCTATCTCTTAGATGGCTGTTGGAGTCCAGTCAGACCCTCTGTCTTCTTTACGGTGAAGATGGACGGAACCTTGGATGTGTGGGACATACTGTTTAAACAGAAGGACCCCATTCTCAATCTCAAAGTCAGACCTAAACATCTCCTCATACTGAGAATGTCTCCCATTTAAATATAAAATCATTATTTGTTTATACTGTTTATGAGTTTTTCTTTTTCTCATAGGTTTGTGATGAAGCTCTGTACAGCATCCGTGTACGAGATAAAGACTCTTTGGTGTGCTGTGGATCTCAGCTAGGAACCGTTAGACTGCTGAAGATGTCACCAGACCTGTGCACTCTGCAGAAGAACGAGAAGGCCCTGGTCTCAGAAGTGAGACATGAACATAATTTCCTTCACATATGCAAACACGTTCACACTTTAAAAATTCATATTGACATGAGATTTTAGTAAATGATGACCATTTTAATTTTTGTGTGAACTATAAAGAGATACGATTCCTTCTGATGTACGCTGAGCTGTTGGAGTGGATTTTTACTTCATTTCAGATGTTTGAACGTGAGACCAAGAGAGAAAAGATTCTGGAAGGTCAGTACAGAGAGAGGCATCAAATGAAACAAAGCTCCTCCGTAGAGGATGAGGGAGGAAAAGATGACATGGAGGAACTTCTGGCCTGTACAGAGAGGGAGTTTTTTGAGACTGTGGAAGCTGAGAAGAAGAAAATAAAGGATGAGGAGAAAGAGAGAAGGTCAGGGATGTTTTGCTTTCAGGATTAACGCGGTTGGATTCCACTCTTAATAAGATTTTAAATCTTAACTGTTTGACTGTCAGGCATGGTATGATTTTGACATGAATCAATATGTTAGCAGTCATCAGTATATACCAGCCAATCAACAAAAGATATGTAGTTTGGCTGGTTTTGCATCTATGGTTTCTAAGGTTGTTTCTTGTCCCCATGCAGGAAAGTGGTGTGTGTAAAGGCATCCAAGCAGAACACGGATACTAAAGATGCCAAATAAGAAAGCTTGAAAGCCCACCTGTTTACTGATTACTTTTTTTAAGCCATAACTTTAGCATAAGCCATAATACATAAACCAACTCAGTATCAGTTGAAGACATGCTTGAAAATTAAATGTGAAATATGAATGTGTCCTTTAATCTCTGTTTTTACTGTAAACTTGTGAGTGTGTTACATGTGCAAGTTATTGTAATTTTAAGACATAATATACACAAATACCCCTGAATTAATGCAAAAATGAACAGCATTAAAAAACCATCAAAAGTGAATGGTCTACTTCATTTGGTTTTGTATTATGTAAACCTTGGCATGAAATATTGGCACATGATGGAAATATTTCTTCTGAAGTGTACTGTCGTTAAGATGGTTAATGTTAACATTAGCACTTTTTGTGGATGTGAGGATGAAATAATAATCCACCTTTTAGCATGAAATAACCCAGGAACTGAGCCCCATCTTGATTCTTTTTTAAGGTGCCTATTCCTTCAGTCATAGTAATAATTAAATATTACAGTAACATTATAAGTTATTAGAATATTTTGAATGTTCATTTAATAGTACAATTTAACAATAATAATATAAAAAAAATAATAGAAGAGAGTGCGGCATAACCTAATGGTTTTTGACTTTCTCAGTTTGTATAAATCTATTTACAGTAGGCTTCAGAGTATTCCCATCCTCTGTGTATTCCCATCCCATATATATATATATATATATATATATATATGAATGAAGAGTTCATTTGCAAAAACAGATTACTCCGTTTTAAAAAATGTTCAGAAATCATGTTTTTTGTTGTTGTTTGTTTTTTTTATCCTGCATTCCAGTTAATACCAATCAAACTGCAGTTGGGTTGTTTTGATTAAATAATAATAACTAACAAAAATACACGCCTGAATAACTCAATAAAACAATAAAAACATGATAACACAATAAAAAAGAAGATTTATGAACATTAATAAAAACGGAGTTACCTGCTTTTGCAAATAAACTCTTCATATAAAACAGAGATAAACATTACTTTAAGTAAGAAATTTACTTTTGCTATCGTTAAATAAATGCTCCGTGATACCTTGTTTTAAATGTGATATATTTTAGCTATTTTTCCCCAAGTATCGACCTTAATTATAATTCTTATTCCCCTACATTTTAGTTTAAACTATCTAAAATATAGGCCCTAGTAATAAAATAAAACTATGCATGGTCATGCAACGTCAGCTTACGGATAAGATTAATATTCATGAGTGAAGCTTTCGTTAGTTGTAAAGAGGGAACGGCCAGTGTCTAGAAACCAGCTGGTGAAACGAAACTGAAAGTGTAGCGAATGCAATAAGAAGCCGAACTGAGGGGAACTGCAACGAATAGATCGGTTTGCTGACAGGAGTGATGACTATTCAGGGAGAGGCACTCTCCAAAACATGTATGTGTCATCTTTTTACAATGCCAAGGGTCAATTCAGGTAAGTCATAATGTAGGCCTATTTTGTTGTTAATATTATAGACACTCGTTTTGTTTTGCAAACGAGGTTTATGATTCATCTATTTTTTCTAATATGCTGTTTTGAATTCTATATTTTACTCAAATTTGTCCTCATTTAACTGTATTTAGACACTTTTTTAGATTTCTCTTTTCGGGAAATGTGTGAGGCAGTTATTTCTGATAAAGGAAACCTAAGAGAAGTTATGAGGAAGTTGTTATTGATGAGCAGAGATGGTTATGAGTTATGGTTATTTAAGTTTTGAGCTGAGGAAAAACATAAAACCTTATTATGAATTTTAGAAGATATGTCGTTGCAGTCATTCAGGCAATGCAATATTCTGTGATCCCTTATGAAAAGTTTCCGTAGTCGTTGTATAATAACCATATTTTAACTGTATTTTTTGCAATAAGACCATAATAACCACAGGTAAAATCGTGGTTGGCTCCTTAACATGGTTAGACTGTGGTTTCTGTAAAGCAGACTATGACATATGATATAAAAAAAACAGCACTGCAGCTACAGCACTACCTTCCTCACTTCTGATTAATGGCAGTAGGCCAATAGTAAAACAAAAATTAATTTTAATTTTAAAATGCATACAATTGTTATGTTTATTTTTATATATTATACATACTTATAAAATATTTATCTTAGAGAATCTTTGACACTTGAACCTCTTTTGCAACAACCAGGAAGCCACAAGCTGTGAGACGATAGAAAATGACAAGGAAGAGAAAGAGTGGAGAGAAAGGAAAGGCAGGTGCACAGAAGAAGGTGGCCCAAAAAAGAGATGGTAGGACATCATCATCCAGAACACGTTCGCAGAGCCAAACGAAATGCAAGTATACTAGTCACCCAAGCCCATCCAGATCCAGAGACCATGGAGGGCACAGCTCGGGCTCAACAGAGCCTGAACCGCTGAGTAAAGATGCTCAGACTCAAACAAGCCCAAGTGGGCTGGAAAACAAGGAGACTCAGACGGAGACTGTTAGTCAGGCAACACAACAGACACAAACAGAGCTCAATGGCAACACTGAGACCACAGAAGTGTCAACAGAACTCGGTCCTGAAGATGTTAAGATGGAGGTGGAAACTGGCCTGTCAAGGAACAAAGGAAATGAAAGTGATGGACAAAAGGATGAAAGTGTTGAGAGGAAGAAAAGGAAAGTGGGTGAAACAAGGGAACCTACAGAGGAGACAAAAGAAAAGACCAAACTATCAGATGGTTGCAGAAACCAAGATGGAGACGATCAGAAAGACAAAGCTGCAAATAAAAAATGTTCAGAAGGAGATTCACAAAAGGACACTAAACTCAAGTCAATAACAGAAGAACCTAAATTGTACGCAGCAGCTGCTGGAGTGGGAAAGACTGAACAGTCTAAGGAGCAGAGGAATCAGACAGCAACAGTTCAGGACAATAGCAAAAGAAGGTTTGCAAAATTATAATATAATGCACTTATCAAATCAAACATTTAACCTAAATAGATACAGAATATGACCTCTAATAATAATAATATTATTTCCATAGAAAACCTTCCCCAGTGAGGGCTCCAGCCGAACAGCCAGTGTTCACTTTCTACATTTATGCTGTTCTGGACAAAAAATTCAGATTTAACAGACAGCATGACTCTCTTTTGCTCCTTCAAGGGAATAAAGTCTTTGAACTACAGATTACATATTTTTTGTAAGTCTCTCATTAATGTATAATGATAACATATTTGCCTATATTATAGCCTATAGGTAGCAAATAAAATTTGAATTGTACTATAACATGTAAAAGTTATGTGATCTTTGTGTTGTAAAGTGTTTTTTACTTTAATGTCATTTATTTTTGCTTAGGGGTCTACAACAGGAAGGCTATTTGATTGAAGCAACATTTTCACTTTGGCAAGGCATTGACAGGGGTGTTCCAATAGAATACAGATATGCAGTTCAGAAACAAAGTGGCCCCATTATGGAAACAGCATTAAGACGTGTTTATGTCCCCACTGAAAATACAGTAAAAGGTACTGAAAGTGTTACATAAGTTTTTTTTGGTAAATCATTGTACATTGTATGTGATGTAATACCTGATCTGTGTTGTTTCCTCTCAAGAATGGCACCTTTATGAAGGTTACATAAGTTCAAGTTCAAGATCTGTTAAAGAACGGGTGACGGACTGGATCTTTCAGAATGCACAAGAAGAAATTTGCAAACGCTGGGAGACATCTGCACATGCACTGCTGGACAGAGTGTTTAAGAAATGGGGGTCATTTAATGATGAAGACAACAAGACACTTATCCAACACCTAAACAGTTACAAACAAGGTTTTCAGTCAGTCATGAGACGTTTGAAATTTCCAGAGCATCCTTCCCCTTCTCAAATAGAAGTAGGTGTGGCTTTCTTCATTCCATTTTCGAAAGACTATCCTAACAGAGTAGAAGAATTATAGCTCTGCCATCTTTGTTTTAGGTCTCAGAACTGATTTCTAGTAGACTGAGTTGGATTTTGAAAGGAGGATCTGGAGGGAAACCTTCAGAGAGCTCGTCTGTCAGCAAATCATTGGAAGCAGCCCTCTCGGTGTTCCAGGTGTGCTGTGGCTGTGGTGTGGATCTCGGCACAAAGGACTGGGGCAAACTCTGTCAAGTAGTCTCTGAAATGACTGCTTCTCTTGGAGAAATGCAAACAACCCTAACAGCCGTACCTTTAATTGACTAGTGAGTAAGGTTTATTGGATAAATCTGTAGTTTCAGATAATTTGATTTTATCCGTGTCCCCTAATGCACACTATAAAACAAAGCCTTGCCTACTGAATAGTTGTTACTGTTTTACATAGGTATGTCTTAAAAGACACCGCAATGTCATCATAATTTTGGTTGCTTTTTTAGCACTGTGACGGGACTGATGAATCAATGTGCAAGGAAGCTGATCTCAGAAGTGGTGCTACTTGTTCCAGTCCTTCATTTACTGAGAAAGTCAGGAGCAATGCCAGATCCAGACTCAGCTATGATCGAACAGAGATGGGCAGGGCTTGAAAATATAGAGTATCCATCTTTCAGGGAGAGAATTAGAGGACTCTCTGACAAAAGGAGGTTTGTCCAAATATTTTTAGAGGAGCTTATTTTTATTTCTCAAAATTTTATGACTTGAATATAAATATGAGGCATATTACATGTGTTGTTTCTAAAATTGTAGGATGGTCCATCAGCTGATCAAAGATCACTCATCAATGACCAAGGATAATCCTTACTTGTTGAAAAGCTGGCTTTCCATGGTGGCTTTTGAGGATGTCCCCGAGTTTGTCCAGTTGACAGGAATTGTTCCTGAACTCCTGATCCAGACCCTGATGTATAGAATGAAGGAGGCTGAACAAAACACTGATCACAACTGCACAGAAAAAAACCTGGAGGTACCTGATTAAAGGCACATAGTTTGCTCTACAGGTTTTGCATTTGGCACAGAGAGAACATTTTCATACCAACAAATGTGTGCTTTATTAAATTGCAGGCAACTGAAAAGGTTCTGAACCTCTTGTTGAAGAGGGTTGAGGAGGACAGAGAACGGTGTGCAAGTTTATTAAATGTATTTATTAAACATAGTAAGCTTGTTCTTAAAACTTTGATATTAGGCAGGTATTAATGCAGAATTTCTTTAATCACAGAATCATGGAGCCCAAGTTATTTGACCTAATCCTTCGGTGTTGCAGAAATGTTCACAAGAGTGTTTGCAAAATCACTCGACTTGTCCCACAATACAGGGTCACAGTGCTCTCATTCAAACTCCTACTTAAAACGGCTGAAATTCTTCATGATTATTTTTCAAAGGTACTGTATCATTGATATCTTCCTGAAAGTCATTTTAAGGGTGGTATTTGTAAGCAAATTATTTTATTTTGCAGGGTGGGGAGGAAATGAAACAAAAGCAAAATCAGCTCTTGTCCATGCTTAATGAAATTCAAATGGATTTCAGTAAATGGAGAGATGGGCTGCTACACAATCCTCTGATGAAGGAGTCTAAATTTGCTTACCCTAAAGAAATACAGGTGTAGTAATCAATACAACCGATCAACTTAAAGGTTATGCTAGATTTTAAGAATGTGAAACTTCTTTAGACACTGTTTGATGTTCTTTGAATTATACCAAGAGGTCAATTTGTGTCTTTTAGATTCTTTATCAGTCAAATGTCTTTGTACAATACCAATTTTTTTTAGGTCAGAAAACTTGATAGGTGACTGGATCTATAAAATAGTCATTTTTGGTTTTGTTAATTCTTCTTTGTAGTTGTGGAATGATTTATATGGGATTGAGTGTTCAATACCAGGCATCTCTGAAAGCTGGAAGGGTTTGTTAGACCGAGACCTGAAAAGAAGAGTGTCCCAGGTAAGGTATAAGCCTTATTTTAGAAGCATATACATTGGAACTGTACATAATGTATACCGCCATCCTCCTTTTGTGTTTTAGATCTCTGACACTGACAAGATTGTTGCATGCTGTCTGGAGACATCAGCAAAGGCTATTGAGAATAGTCATGCAAACCTTCAGTCTTGTTTCAAAGAGTTTTGTCAGACTGCTATTAAGAAACAGTGTCAGGTAATGTCACCTTTCATGCTGAAAGAATTATTATTATTATTTTTCAGTTTTGCAGTATTGATGTATGTCTGACTGCTCCCTTATTTTCTCTTTACTGAAAGTTAGTTAGATTAATGTATTTGTATTTACTTGTACACCTTGTAAATATATTTTTGTATTTTCTTTTTGCTGCAGGCAAAGAAGGAAGGAGACCTTTTACGTCATCTCTTTACCAAGTTCATTTCATGGCCTGTCATGTCCTCCATTATTGTGGAGTCAGCAGCTTGTTTTGGAGAGGATCATGAAGGTCGTCTACTGGACCCGCAATCAGCAATAAACTTCCTCTTATCTCAAGGTGCAGTGACTGGGTCTTACAAGTTTCATGAATTTAACATGATTTAACAACAAAGTGAATAGTCAGAGAAAGAAAACCTGGACACAGTTTAAGAATCTATCGTGTGTATACATAAATACATTATGGGCAGCAGTTGTTCATTAACATGGATTATGTTTAATTTTCACAGACAAATGGAATGGAAATCAGTGGAAGTTGGAAGATGATGCCAGTCATTTAATAGCAGATAGTCAATCATTCTTAGGTTCTCTAATTCATTCCCTTTGCCAGGGAAATATACCTCTGGGCCACCTTAAGACCGTCTTTAAGTCTAAAAGTCCATTTCAGAAGCTTTACAACCAGCGTAAGTGTTATGCACTTTGTATCATTACAACTTATAGAGGTCTCTTTAGGCACAAGCTTATTCATCATTTTGTTTATTTTGACATTAGATAAGAAGAACAACAAAGAAGAGAATATCTCAATCGATGTGTCAGAGCTACTCAGTCAAAGAGAAGATGACTTAAAAGCCTTTGAACAACAGAAGGAGTTCATGACCAACCTTATTAAGATGCTGGGGAAGATTACTGATGTCGTAGATGGTAAGGAAGTTACCTTTGGACAGGGGTTTTCAAATGTTTTGATACCAAGGACCCCCAAATATTATGAACCCCTTGTGAGGGACCTCTTCCTAAACTATTAAGATGAAAGACCCATTTATACTGTGTCTGAAAAATAATAAGTGTGATATTATAAATACAACTTGCTGTTTCCAAAACTAAATAATTGGCATTTATATTGTTGCATTACCTGGAGTAGACAGCTGACAGTGTAGGTAAGTAATATATGTGTGTGTGTGTGTGTGTGATTAAATTTAGATTTGTTTTTTATTTCTTATTGTTCAAAATTAAAGCTGTCAATAGAATAAAAAACATCATGATTAATGTCATGATTTCCAAATGAGACTATGAGAATGAGAATTCTGTAAATATATTTACACTAACTGCATTAAACATAAAAACATTTGTCAAGTCTTTTATGAAGCTCTCTGAAGATTTAGATAAAATTATAATGTTATATACATATATATATATATATTTAAAAAATGTCATAATTTTGCCTCAGTACCAGAGGTTTCTTCCCTAGAAGACATGGTCAAAACCAACCTGCAGATGGTAACTCTGAACAAACTGGTGGAAGTGCAGACATATTTCTCCAAAGAGGATCTTGACAAAAACAACACAAGGCGAGTGTTATTCTACAATATTGATCTGCAAGTCCTAGACATGGCACGGGAGATGCATGAAGTGAAGACCAGCGACCTTCTTCTGTCTTTATGGCTAGAAAAGGCAACCGAATATTTTATGCCTGGTCCTCAGCTTTTGTCACTAGACCTTACGGACGTCCATGACAGAATCTGGAAACCTTGTCTCACTAACTTCCTCAACCTTGGTCTACGGATTGCAGTTGGAGCAACTTCTTTTAAAGAGGTGGACCAAGCTTTGAAATGGTGTGGGGACAGGGGTGAAGGAGATCGTTTAAAGAAAGAGCTTACTTTGATGGCAACTATGCTGAAAAGCCATCAATTTCTGAATGTAAACTGGCCAGAGGATCGGCTCAGTCAGATTCAGGAATACAGACGCCTTCACCATGCTGCGGAATCTGCTGAGGTCATACTGAAAATCAAAGATAACTTGGAATTACAAGGAGACTTCAGCCATATTCATAGCCTGATTCAAGTGGTAATAAACCAGTCATTATTGTGATTGTATTATATTAAGCATGTATGTATGTTTGTTTAGATTTGTGAACATTTTATTCTTCTATATATAGAGAGATGACTCCTTCAAACAAAACACTCTGGGTTCGCTGAGTGATGACCTCATCAGAGCCAGGCAAAAACTGGCAGATGTCAAATGCCAGCACACAGCCTGTTTGAAGGCTTTCTTGGAAAGTGATACTCTGATCAAATGGGTCAAAACGCAAATTCCAAGTAAGAATTTTTTTGGGGATTTATCTGATTTATAGTGTTGTAGTGTGGAAAAAAAATCTTAATATTTAATGTTTCATCTAGGTTTAAGAGACTTGAAAACCTTTATGGAACTGGCCTCAATTTCTGCTGGGGAGAATGATGCAGACACTGATAGGCTAGCCAGTTTCGAGACTGTTGTGATGGGCTATGGCCCTTTGCTTTACTCACTACCAAAAAATGCAGGATTTGAAGAGTTTATTGACTGTGCTAAGCAAGTATTGGACATCCTTGACAAAGATAAGAAACTCGTGGATAAATTGGTTAGTTTCTGCAAACAATTAACTAATACAATAATTTAATTTTAATTGTTCTGTACGCCTCTAATGTTCCATTTAATAGGTGTTGAATTATGCTTCTTTTTAATTCAATTTAAGACTTTAAATTTAAATTTTGTATACAGGTAGACTCCAGGCGGTGGTTGGATTGGCTGAAAGGTTTAAGGGAGACTTATGGCTCTGTTGAGCAATCATCTTTGTCCATGGCCTCAGATATCAACACTGCAGGCGTGTATCATGTGGGCTGGCCTGAAGATTTCAATGGGAAAGTGAGTAGATACTAGTATAAAATTATGCTTAATTTCAGACTTTTTTTTTAAACATTTCCACAAAAATGTTTCTTTAAATCAGTTAAAATATTCCATTAAGCAGACATGCTGTGTGATAGGTAAGTTTGTGAACATCTGTTTAGTAAAAGAACAGTATCTTGTTGTGATATGTTTGTAGACAGGTTTGGACAATGTGTTTTGCGTGAAGGTGACAAAGAATGAACAAGAAAAGACATACAATCTTAATGAACTCCTAGGGCTACAGAATAAGCTCATGCTGATGTCTTCTAAAGGGGAGCATGGAAGGGAGCAAGTCAACAAGTTTACTCAGGTAGGTCCATTATCACAATTGTCCACCAGCCAAGAAATATTAAACTTTTGATGTCTGAAAACATAAAGTTCCAATTAAGATCTCTATATTTGCATCAGATTATTCAAAGAAATTGGCATTAGTTTTGTGGAGACTTATCTCAATTTTCATCTTGTAGGTTTTTGAAGGAGTCCAGAGGATGGGCCGCATCCTCCTTCAGTTGCGCACATCGGGCAATATGCTCTTTCGAAACTGGGGGGCACAGATAACATGCAACGACCAAGATCAACCCTGCATTCAAGTTAGCTTTACCCAGTTGAGCAAGTGTGTTGTATATCGTGGTGAGGTTGAGGAGGAGCTTCAAAAACTGTGTCGCTCTCTGGAGAACTTTCATAAAGATTGGTGTAACCACTTAACTAAGACACGCTCTCAGAACTACGCACTGAATCATTACACCTCAGAGCAAATTGTTTTTCTTTGCGAATGGATCAACAGCATTAGCATCAAAAGGAAACCTGTGCCACAACAAATGTGGCATCTTTTGACTCCTATTAAACCAGATTGTAACTTAAATGACATACGAGAGGCCTTTGAAAAAGCAACAGAGACAGAATCTATGGTGCAAGATGACATGGCAGAGGAATCAGAACAAAACAGTGATTTTGACCTGCCTCTGAACTTCAGTTTACTAGATGTTGGTACTGAATGCTTAGAGGACCTGTGGCAGCAATTTAAAGAGAACATGTCCAGGTTCCTTACCCACCATGTGGATCTCGAAACACTTGGACGATTCCTCTCCAATCTGTCTGACATGAATCAAATGCACATCAAACGAAAGATACCTCCTATTCTACAAGAGGGAAGGCCAAACCTTGTCCAGTGCCCTGTTGTGGACTTGATTAGCACAACTCTGTCTTTTTACACAGAGAATCAAGAGCATCCTCTTCCAACAACTGATGAGGTATTAATGTGCCAGGAGGAGACAACTGAAGAGGAGGTGGAGATTTTCCTCCGCCGATGTCTAGGATCCCAAGGCACTGTAAGCAATCAT